ACCCCCGCCGGGAGGAGCGGAGCTCGGCGCCCGCGCTGAGCGTCTCTCCTCTGCAACGCGACCGAAGGCGGGCGTCTTCCTCCTTTCTGCGGCCGCGTTGATTCCGCCTGTGATTGCTGGCTGAAAATAGCCACAAATTACGGTTCTCTGCCTTCGGAGTCCTTACTCTGCGGACCCGCAAGTTTTAAGAATGGGCTGAAGTCCCCGTTACTGGGTAAAGAGGCCTTAACTTGGCAGGCCTCCGCCGGGTGTTGCCAGGAGAGCCCTCCCTCTCCAGGCCCAGACTCCGCTTGATCTACTTGAAAACGATTTTTAAAACAGTACCTTGCATTTATTCTAAGGACTGCAAAGTCAGAGGCATGGCATTTGCCACACTCTGGAGGTAGAAGCTGGGTGTTTTGTTTTGTGTAACTTTGCTTTGAGCCTTTGGCCTGCCAGATCTGTTTTTCGTGTTTCCCCCGAAACAGCCACCAGTGTGTTTCATTCATATGAGCAATAAAATAGCACAAAACCCCAAATAGAAGAAAGGCTGGGTTATTTGATGGTTGGGCACAGTTTTATATAGCATATCAGTTTTGCGACTATTTGTCCTGGCAATAAAAAAAAGTTTTAAAATGGAACCAGGGATAAGATTAATAAATTTCCAGGACACTGAAAAATGATGGCTGGCTCATACCAGCAGTTTTTTTAAGCTAAAAATGACTTGTTTAATTTTCTTTCTTCTTTGTATAGCTTTTGGCAGAACCAAAACTGAATCACATATTCAAGGGGGAAACACTTTATTTTTAAGACTTGAGAATAGTGAAAGCTCGGATTTCTTTAATATATACATGAATTATGTGATGTAGGGAGGAGGGAAGAACATTTTGCTCAGTGTGACCCTAAGGCCTGGGTTTTCTCCTTCATGGCATCCTCAAAGGTTAGGAAGTTCATAGCTTCTCTTCAAAACCCCTTAGCAATCTTGTAACAGTCACTTACTTAAAAGTCAGTAAAATATCATCTGTCTTAGTATTTTGAGGTCTCTTATAGGGTAGAAAAACATTAAGAATTTTATTAATAATATTATGAATCTTCATTACTTCAGCTGAAAATCACAGAAAGTGATTTTAGGTGGTGATATTGTATGTTTTTGTTTTTTTCTTAATGATGTTTATATTTTCAAATTTTGTTTCTGGGGAGAGAGAAAACGATTGGGGACAGGCACATACATTCCACCTGACGCCTAAAGGCTGGAGATAGATGGCACTGCCTGCTGTGGCAGGATTTGGGTAGGTGCTCCTGTGCCGTCTGATTTGCAGGCCTCTGTTTCAGTGATTAAGGACAAATGCCTGATCTGAACACATGGAGAGGGATGGTGAGTTCCGACTGTCAGAGAGAGGTGAGGAGGTGTGGATGTGTGATCTTGCAGAGAAGGGGCCTCCCTTCTGATGTGTAGCCCTCAAGCCCACTGTAGATTTCATGTCACCAGCCTGCCTTAGGTTCAAGTCACTCGCTGTGGGTTTTCTCTGGCTGCCATCTCCTTGAAATGCTCATCTTTCCCACAGGCCAAGGAAAACGTGAGCTCCAGTGCTTTATCCAGTCCTTAATGACTTTGACCTCTGAGCAGAGAGAGCTGGCCACCTCGCAGGCCTGGACGGACGGACTCTGTTCTTGCCAGACTAATAGCCCTGCCACCAACACTGAGTTAGGAGTGGCTTGTTGGGCAGGTAGCTGGGGTCCTCTCATGCAGGAGGCTGTCTCTCACCCACCTTCTCCAAAACCTGGCTGGGGTCTGTCTGAGGTTTAGCTGTCCAGATGTGGCTTCAGGTTCTCACTGGCAGAACCTGAGCTAAAGTGAATAAAATAAATCACCCTTTTCAGGAAGGGGTTGCATTTTGTAAACTCAAGTCCTAAGAGAGAGGCCTTAAAAATCCCACTGTGCGCCCCTCTTTCTAAGCGCTCTTCTGAGACTGAGAGACTCTAGTTTCATTGGCACATGCTTTAAAAGGGCTGCATTCAAACCTCCTCCCTTCCTTCCAGCTGCCAGGCTGGCCTTTTCCAGCCAGGGCTGTCCAGCTTCCTGCTCAACTCTTTCCAGTGCAGTCCCACTACCAGCCACTGACTGGCATTCTCCAAACACCACCACCCACCACTTCTCTATTGCGGGCACCGCCATTGTCTCTGAGTGACTTGGCTCCAACTCTGAGGGAATTTCGTACAGATATGTGCTACCCTTTGATTCTGAGATATCCAAGTGTACCAAATATCTCTATTTCCTCTCTCTAAACCGAATTCCCTAATCCCTGCCTCCGAGTGTCCCTGCAGATTGGCTGGAGGAGTCTCTGTACATGGGTATGGGGGCCTCCCCTTCTCCCACCAGGTTGTGCCATGATTCCAGGGGAGGCCAGAGTCAGGACATCAATGTGGGGGGCCTTCTGGTTGTTGGTCACATGTCCATACAGGGGGGTGTCCATATCCCTGTCTTCCTGCCGTCTTGAGCCCCCTCCCCCCCAACACATCATTCCTCTCTGAAGATTTCTGCCCTCCTGGGCTCTGCCCACACGGATGCCACACTGCACCCCAGGGCCACAGATCTTGCTTCTCCCGCAGATACCAGGGGGAACTTTTTTCTAGCCTAGGGGATTCCCTCTTCCTCCCTTCTTCTCTCAGGCCAGCCACCTTCTGCCCGTAGCTCCCTCTCTGAGTTTCCTTCTCACACTTGCCAAGTTCTCTCCAGGGCACAGGGCTTTTGTCACATGAGTGATTTCTGCGTTCTGACCAGAAATTACCTCCATGAAGGTGGTCACTGCCTAATTGTGGAGAAAAAGGGAAAAAGTGAGGAAAATATGGATTAATTTTATGAAAATATTATGTAGTTATGATGTCATGTCCGAATCACTGACCCTGTGTCCTGCCTTGTCCCAAGTCTTGATGGGCCATGGAAGGCCCTGGCCCTCAGCTGGAAGCATTGTGTAGAAGCACTAAGTTACGGAAGGACCCAGCAGTCCTTCTTGTTTTGCAAAAATCACTGCTCACCATCCACTGAGTAGCTTTTCCCTTTCTCCTTTGTACTTTAGGCGAATAACCTTCCGAAAGCCATCGCAGCTGCTCACACCTTTCTGCTGAAGCATCCTGATGATGAAATGATGAAGAAAAACATGGCCTATTACAAGAGCTTGCCCGACGCCGAGGACTACATTAAAGACTTGGAAACCAAGTCATACGAGGTAGACGTGGAGTTTTACACGGTGGTCAGTGGTGACCTTTGATGACATTTGATGAATATCAAGACTATCATGACTTTTTAGCACACATTTGATCCATTTAAGAACGAGACTACATTCCATGATGCTTTTAAAGCCACCTTTTGAAAAATGCTACACCTTAGAAATATGGTCGTTTGGTTGTTCAGTTTTACGATGGTAGAATAAAGACATGCCTTGGAAATCAACCAAAAAATGACCAAAAACACAGAAAACAGAAATTTAAGTTTCCATTTCTGATGAAACTAGGAGGTATATTTTTAAACACACACACACGCATGCACACACACAGCATATATACGCATTAAGGCGGAAAGGAAGTAGAGAGGCTAGGAGGATGGCCTGGACAGGCGAGAAGCTACTTAAATCTATGCATCTGCAAAGAGGAATTCTGATGCGAACTAATGAGGACAGTGAGAGGAGGGAGAACCTAACCCCTCTGAGCACTTACTATTGTCTGGGCCTGTTGAAACAGCTCAGGCGCTGGGGGCATGGGTACCCATGAAGGGTAGGGCAGGATTGAAAGCAGAGGGATATGTTGCTGAACGTACCCACGGGGAGCCAGGAGAGCCCAAGTTCTGACTACAGGCTTTCCTGTAGTGACCAGCCCGCCACTCACTTTTTCAGTAGCGATGACCCTGAAACACAGTGTGTGAGGTCCCTTTCCTGGGGCCCTTTAGTTTTCCAGGGGAGAATTCTCCGAGGCTGTCCTGGCCTCTCCAGGTTAGCAGGTTTGTGCGTGTAGCCAAGATCTCTACATGCTTATTTCTCGTGAAACCAGGCTGCTTCCTTAGCCCTCACTATTGCTCTTTTTCCCGATCTGGTCCACAATTAGCAGAAATTCCTTGACGTTTCCTCTGTCTGGCACATGGTTGCCCTTCCCAGTAACTGGTGCTGCACTGTTAGGGGACAGATGTTCAACACCTGCTCTCAAGCTTATGTCTTTTCCTTGATGCAATTTTTAAGATGAGCTTCATTGGGATATAATTTATTAAAATTTTAATTACAAATTTTAAATGTACGATTCTATGAGTTTGGACAAATATGTGCAGTCCTGTAACTACCACCATAATCATGATAGAAAATATTTTCTTTTCCCCTAAAGTGTTCCCTTTTGCCTTTGTCTTGACCCCTGGGGGGGCGGGGCTGCTCTGATTTCTTTCACTATAGTTTCCCTTTTGTCCTTGATTTGACCTTGATTTTATTATTAAGCACCCGCTACTTTTTGAATGCAATGAAATAAGCGTACCATTGCACACATGCTAGAGAAACTAGACAGAAGTGAGTCACTCACTGGCTTCCTACTTAGTTAAGGGTCAGCGTGGTTTCTTCAGAGTTAGTGAGAGCGGAGCCCTGTGGTGCCCGGTTTCTCCGGGAGGACAGGCCCCCTCCCGGCGCGTGCGGGAGTGTCATTAGCGTCTCCCTGCTTTCCAGAGCCTGTTCATCCGAGCCGTGCGGGCGTACAACGGGGAGAACTGGAGGACGTCCATCACCGACATGGAGCTGGCCCTTCCCGACTTCTTCAAGGCCTTTTACGAGTGTCTCGCCGCCTGCGAGGGCTCCAGGGAGATCAAGGACTTCAAGGATTTCTATCTCTCCATAGCAGGTTGGTGGAGGTTGGGTCCTAGACGTAGATGGGACGGCGGCCGGTGGCCTCTGGGGAACTTTGGCGCCTCCATGGGTCAGACTGGACTGGGCTTGGGGAGGAGCAGTGAGTGTGACGTTGGGGCACAGCCTGCAGGGCAGGATGACCCATCAGCCCTGCCCAATCCCGATCCCACAGGCTGCTGGAAAATGAAAATGGGCCACAGGAGCTCGTGCCTCACGTTACTCTAATAGTGGAAACTTTTCAGCACACATAAAGGTAGAAGGAAGAGAATAAGGAGCCTCTGAGCAGCTGTCACTGAAGTAACTTTTGGGGAAAAAGTTGTCTGATTATGAAACAAGGCATGTTAATTTTTGAGAAACTTTGCATATTAATGATTTTAGTCCTTTATCATAAGTGTTGTAAATGTGTTACCTTCATCACTGATTATTTTTTACCTTTGGGAGGTGGGGCAGAAGCAGTATTAAGAAAGTAATGAGCGCGCGGCTCTGAAAGTGTGTGTTCTTTCAGATCATTACGTGGAAGTCCTGGAATGCAAACTACAGTGTGAAGAGAACCTCACTCCAGTTATAGGAGGCTACCCAGTGGAGAAGTTCGTGGCTACCATGTATCATTATTTGCAGTTTGCTTACTATAAGTGTAAGTAATCCTCTTCTAGGGGATCTTGGGCAAGGGACTTAATCCTTCTAAGACTCGGCTTCCCCCTCTGTGCAAGAGAGGTAATGACCTTACGTAGGGCTTTGAGAGAATTTGTCAAGGTCACAGCATCAGCCCCAGTGCCATCTTGGGTTCACAGTTTAAATATTCCTAGTTGGATGAAAACATAAGCTAGTGTTTCTATTGCATTGTCATGAGAATCTGGGCTGAGTCTTCACTGAGCTGGCCCCCTGGTGGACTTGGAAACATGGGGAAGAGTGGTTGGGGTCTAGCCTCTGAGCAGGGCTTGGTTCTGCGTGCACGAAGCCAGAACACAAGGGGTTTAGACGTATTCCAGGCAATTCCAGCCTCTGGCAGCTCCCTGACCCTCTGAAACCCTCCCGTGCTCTGAAAATTGCTCAGTGTATCAGGAACTACGGCAAAGGCTTAGAAACACTGGTAACTAAAACTTCCAGCTTTCTTTCCTGCTCCCCAGGAAATCTTTGCTTTTGGGGGTTATAGGTACACAGTAAGAGCAAAATTTTACATCTTGATATTGGCTTCCTTAAAGCCTGCCCTGACTTGAACTCCTTCTGGAACACCTACCGCACTAATTTCTTGAGGGCTAAGTGTTGTTAATTACACTGGAACCCTTTCCCAGCCCAGGGCCTTGTGAATACGTGGCCCAAAAAACCCTGGTTAGAAACTTGTCATGACCAGAAACAGCCACGGGGTGGCATGATTTACTCATGTCCACGCCTCGGTTATTCTGGTCAACCAGAGCTTTAGCCAAGGTAGTGTTCCTGGCTTGAAATTTGGGGCGGAATCTGCCAGAATAAATACTGAGGGGCTGGTGTCTCATCGCTTCTCCATGTCCTCTGCCCCTAAGGCAAATCCCAACCTCTGCAAAACTCCTAGGCTAATAAAGGTGCTGTCGTAGGTGGGGCAACTCTAAGGGAGGCCGGAGGGAACCTCACTTCCCGGAGATGAAAAGACCAGTGATTTCAAATCTCTTCCAGCCCGGAGAGGCCACCATCCTTTTGGGTTTTTCTAGGTTGGGTTTAGCTATAGGAGGGCCTGCTTGGGTCTGGGGATTGTGGTGGTATCCAAACGGGACCTAGGCCCTTGGGGACCGCAGTGGGGGAGCTCATTTGCTGAGCCCACCCTCTCTAACTCCCTCAGCGCCCCCCAACAGTCTAGGCCTTGGGACCCAGCCTTCTCCGGTTCCAGGGATGTGAGACCAGCTTAGACCACCAGAGCCTGGGGTGGAATAGGCATCTGCCTAGCAAGGAACTAACATGTTTCAAAGCTCAGGGCTGCCATGGAGACCCTGGCTGGGCAGGTCCCAGTCGGGGCTGATTCTGGCTGGTTGCGGGCTTTCGGGAGGAGGGCTGCCAGGAGGGGCTCAGGCACCAGCCTGGGCGGTGAGAGTGGTTGACACCCTGTTCCCCTTTCTCCCTGACCCCAGTGAGCGACCTGAAGAACGCAGCCCCCTGTGCGGTCAGCTACCTGCTCTTTGACCCCAACGACAAGGTCATGCAGCAGAACCTGGTGTATTACCAGTACCACAGGGACAAGTGGGGCCTGTCGGACGAGCATTTCCAGCCCAGACTGGTAGGTGCCAGCGTGCCGGGCACCACGGTCCCCTCCCCCGCTTCATTCTCACTTTCGGGAGACGCTTTGCACCGGAAGAGAAGGGGTTATTTTGGAAATGGAAGGAAACTCACTTTTTTTCTGTTTCTTGTCTTTTAACATTTTACTGCTTTATTCTGATTTTTAAACCAGTAAAAATTCTACAGGTTTCAAACATTCCGGAAACATTTTTACTTAGAATGTGAAATTCCCTCACGGCTCCCTACTTTCTGTTTTCCCCCAGCCTTATAGCTGTACATCTAGTCAGCTATACAACCCGTATTTATTTATTTTTATAGGAACAGGCTCACATTTTACATTACTGTTCTGCAGCTTTCTTTGTCTCCCTACCAGTTCATTGTGAATATATTCTATGTCCCACTCATACACCTACTTTGTTGTTATTTTTGACAGCTTCATGGTGGGCTCGTTTATGGATGGACCATCATTTAATTCCCACAGTGGACAAACAGCTTCACGTGTGTTAGGGAACTCCATGGATTATATATGACATCCAAAATGATCTAAATGACCATGTTCTTAACTTCTACTTTCATTGGGATTTCTATATGTGGTCTTGGTTTGCCATTCATACATCTTCCTTCACTCACACACACACACACTCTCACTCACTGGGACATAATTTAAAGACAGGAAAATTCACGCTTTGAAAGGGCACCAGTCACCGTTCTAGTATATTCACAGAGTTGGGCAACCATGACCACTCCCGAATTTTAAATATTTTCATCATCCCCAAAAGAAACCCCAGGCCCTGTTCCTCTCACCTCCCAGCTCTAACATGACAAGGCGGGTCCTGTAAACTGTCCTCTGTCTGTGTCTGAACAGGAGGCAGTTCAGTTCTTTAACGTGACTACTCTCCAGAAAGAGCTGTATGACTTCGCAAAGGAAAATATAACAGATGACGATGAGGTAAGTTTTCATGTTTAACACACGTCTGGCTAAGAGAAAATCTTACTCACATCTCTGCTAAGATCACTGCAAGGCAAGTCATCCCTGAAATAAGAAACAGAAGGGGCCCTTGAGAGGCGCAGTGTCTGTGGGCGTTTTAATGGGAGTCAGGCCCTGGCCTGGGCAAGACGGCTTTCTAGGAACCCAGGCTGCAATGCCATCCAGCTTTCTTTTTTTTAGGGGAAATTGGTGAGTTCTTTTTTTAATTTTTAATTTATTGATTGTAGAGTGAGAAAGAAACATCATTTTGTTGTTCCACTTATTGATGTATTTCTGCGTTGATTCTTGTATGTGCTCTGACCAGGGATCGAACCTACAACCTTGGTGTATCAGGATGAAGCTCTAACCAGCTGAGCTACCCAGCCAGGGCAAATTTTGTTATTCTTGATGCTATTTAAATGGAATTGTTTTCTTATTTTTATTTTTCCATCGTTTGTTGCTAGTATATAGAAATACAGTTGACTTTTGTATATTGAGACTGTAATCCTGCAAGTCACTCCAGCTTTCTGAATTTGTTTCCTCCTCTGTGACATGAGAGAGCTTTACTTTACTGAATCTTTGTTATAAAAATACCTAACAAAGTAGGAATAGACTGGGAGCTTCCTCAACCTGACAAAGGACATTACACACACACACACACACACACACACACACACAGCCAACAACATACTAAATGCTGAAACAATGCTTCCTCAACCTGACAAAGGACATTACACACACACACACACACACAGCCAACAACATACTAAATGCTGAAACAATGCTTTCCTTCTAAGATTGGGAACGAGACAATGATGTCTGCTCTGTCCGTTTCTATTTGACATTGTGCTAGAGGTTTTAGCCAGCGCAGTGAGCAAAGAAAAATAAATAAAAGACATCCAGATGGAAAAAGAAGAACTACCACTATATCCATAGGAAACGTGATCTCACAGTGCTCTTTGCCAGGTTGAGGAAGCTCCCCTTCTATTCTTACTTTGTTGCGTATTTTTATCATGAAGATTCTGTAAAACACTCTCATGTCACAGAGGAGGAAACAAATTCAGAAAAGTAACTCAGGTCCTGGTCCTTGAAAAGCCCATGGACTGGTGATCAAGGCAGACAAGGACAGATCGCAGGTGTTCCTGTGGGGTAACTGCTAGTGGGAGGGGGCAGGGGTGTGGGGAGGGAGGCACAGGAGGAGAGGCGCTGACAGGGTCTCTCGGAGGGCGGCTGGATGCCCACTTCACACAGGCCACAGTGGGGCTGCAGAGCACTGGACTGCAAGTTCACAAGGAGTGGAGCCAGGTCCCCTCTGCGGGAGAAGTCAGGTCCTCTGGGCCCAAGGGCTTGGGAGAAAGGCTGCTACGGCCCCAGCAGGCAGCTGGCAATGGCCTCTTGGAAACGGTCGCTGCTCACCGCACTTTAAAGCCAGGTGGCCCACTTAACGGAGGTGTCCTGTTGTCTCTTGCAGGGAGAGGTTGTGGAATACGTGGATGACCTCCTGGAGCTGGAGGAGACCAGCTAGTCCACAGGAGCCAAGGACACATCCCCTCGAAGTTCAGGAAACAGAGATTCTTGGTCTTCCTTTTCCCAACAGCCCAAGTTGTTGATACCTCAAAGCCTTCTCTTTACTCTGTAAAGTGAAAGGGAAGCCCCATCTCTCACTACATATAACACGTGAAAGGGAAGCCCCATCTCTCACTACATATAACACGGGGCGAGCCTGCCTTCCCCGTGACCACACCTGCCTCCCAGCTTCACACCTGCTTTCTCTGTGTTGACATCTGTCTTCCCCAGCTTCACACCGGCCTTCTTCATGTTCATACCTTCCAACCACTTTGGTTGGAAGGACAGTCTTCTATTTTTGCCCCCAGAAAAATCTATATTATTTTTTAATAAGAAAAATACTCCTAAAAGATGGTAATTGTGAAAACCTACTTTGACCTTTCTGCTCTTCCAGATTTTAGTCTTTTTTTATCCCCATGCCCTGATCCAGGAAAGCTGTTGGAAGAAGAAGGCTAAACTTCCCCACCTCCCGTGATGGTCTGCACATAGTCTGACCTGCACCGTTCGTGGCACCCATTGAGAAAGAAGTTGGTAACAGTGTACAGTACAGAGATGTGGCTTTTGCCCAACACTTTTGCATCTCCAGAGTCTGACAGTGGCTTGTTGATTCCAGTTGAGGACAATTCTCAATTATCAGTCTCCGAGCTGGAAATGGAAGAAAGCAGAGGGAGTCTAGTTTCATTTGCTCTTTCAATAAATATTTATTGAGCACCTACTATGTGTTAGGTATTGACCTGGCACTGGAGATACTGCACAAGATAAGAGTGGGAGGAAAACTCCTGCTCTTGGAGCCTACGTTCTCCAAGGAGAGACAGGCAACAAATAAACAAGAGTAAATATATGCAAGGTATCAAGGGTGATAATTGCTATGGAGAAACATAAAGCAGGGAAGGAGTTGAGGAAGCCTGGAGATGAGGCTGCAGTTTTAAATAGGGTGGTCGGGGAAGGCTTCACCGAGAAGGTGACGGCAGAGCAGAGACCTTAGGGAAGCAGCTCTCGAGGGAAAGCATTCCAGGCAGAGGGAACAGCATGTGCGGTGCTTTACAGTGAGAACAGGCTGTGGTCAGGAACAGCAAGGAGGCCAAGGAGAGGAGCGGGCCAGGGGAAGAAGGGAAGAAGAGGCTGGAGCGGTGTAAGTATAGGGGATGGGGGAGAGGACAGGTGGCTGAGGGCCTTGTTGGCTGTGTCAGGCCTTTGGCTTCTCTGCTACATGAGATGGAAGCCCCTGGAAGGTTTGAGCAGAGGAGTGCCCTGACCTGGGTGATAGTCATGGAAATGATGCTAAGTGGTCGATTGTGGATTTGTTTTAAAAGCAGGGCCAATTAGATTTACCGACAGATTGGATGTAGAGTGTAAGACAAAGAGGGGCTGACGGTGACCTCCAGAGAGACTTTTGAAGTTAGTGGGGTAGAGGGTCATAGGGCAGGACTACAAAGTAAGGGGGACCAGTGAGTGGATGCCCCGGCCCAGGATTCCCGAGTCCTGGAGGTGGTGCACCCAGCAGCTGTTCAACTCCCCAGAGCTCCTGGCTGCAGTTGACCTTCCCAGTGAGTGAGGAAATGCGAGGAGACCACCACAGGCACAGGGCTGGGCTGGGCTGGGCTGGGCTGGGCTGGGCGTCTGACTCACGCCACCTCTGTGGCCTGCAGAGCTCCCATTTGGTTTTCTTCTGTTGGTTCTGAGCCTGGGCAGAGCTTTTTGTGGGTGACATTTTTCTGCACAGGGTTGAGTGGTGGTGGTGGTGGTAGGGCCCTTGTCCACTCTCTGAACTTGGCCTCTTTTCACGGGGGATCAAAGAGCTCCTCCACCCCCATCCTAGCACTGTCCTCTGAGGAAGAAATGCTGGGGACAGGATGATCAACATTGTCAGCGCCTCCCTTTGATTGAAAGCTGTAAAACTGAGTTATTAAATTTTTTATTTCAAAGGAAACCAATCTTTAAATTTTTTTTTTTTTTTTTTAAGTGAGCAGATTCTTCCAAACCTACTGTGAAACTCCAGTGTGCAGGCTGCACTCAGTGACCTAACCCAGCGCCTCCCTGAACGGTTTCTTGGAAGAGTCTAGAAGATTCTTGGGTTGAACCTCATAGGTTCAGCATTAGTCTGGTCTGTCTTTTGAAAAAACAAACATATTTGTCAGCTTTGTGGGAGCTTCCAGACCCACCGAGGTTGCCTCACTTGCCCTCTGACCTACCAAACGGTCACTCTGTTTGGTGTCCTCAGGCTGGTCCCCCAGGGAGGCTGCCCACCCTGGGGGTGGGGGGATCTGTCCAGTCCCATTGCCACTCTGGTAACCCAGGCAGGGTGGGCACCCACTGGGCAGGGTCTAACAGCTAGCCCTGTGGCCCGTGAACGTTCATATTTTAGCAGTGAACGGCTGCCGGTTTGTGTGTACACATAGGTTTCAAAGGGACTAATTGTCTGAAATGTCTCACATACCAACATATTCAACATACTAGTATCTTTCTGAGTCTGAAGACTGTCTATTTACTGCCACGAACCCGTTGTCCTCACCTCTGGGATCCCAGAGAACCACTGGGTCCATTGATGACAAAGGCCACCTAAGGAAATGTTGCTTTTAGTTCTTACTAAGAGAATTTTAAGAGCACAAAAATTTTATTGAACCAAACTCGGTAGCAAACAGAAAATGATTTGTTCGACTGTCCATGGGAAAGGGTTTATTATGACCGCTAGTGGGACAGACGGGCTGGTTTCTGCCAACATTTATGGAAATAACGTTTTTAAGTTTTAAATGTGAGCTGTAAACCTAAGCGCCTTCAGTTAAAAAAAAAAAAAATTCAATACTGAAACTGTGGGGAGATGGTGGATGGGTGCCAGAGCAAACATTCTCATTTAATAGTGTTTGCACATGGAGCTACAACACAGTTTGTAGCGAGGCCCTGAGAAAAACCCACAGCTAATCCTTCATCGCAGCTGTCTGGACTCTTGATGATCTGCCATCCCCCAAACAGCGCCTTCTTTTTTCTGGCGACTCCAGGCTTGAATGACTTAGTGTGGAGAGTCTCAACTATATACAAGGTGGGGGGGAAAGGGAAAGGAACCGTAAATAAGCCTCAGCCAAAGGTTTTGTGCATTGGACTTCCTGTGCCTGCAGCCGGGGCAGGGCTGTTCCCCACCCAGTCCCCGTGCCATCTCCCTGCGAGGGAAGACCCCACGACAGGCCAGGCTCGCCTTGACTGACCCTCTCCTACCCCAGAAAGGAGTCAGGAGCGGCTGTGGTTTGGGTCACAGTGGGATGCTTCTCTCTTTAGGGCAGGCCTGTGAGGCCCACGCCTTAGCACCGAACATTGCTCCCCGCCACCCAATGATTGGTGGCTTGTTGAATAAATGCATTGGCTCACTGTCCCCTTGGAGCTAATAGGGTAAGATGCTGGTGCCTCATTTGACAAGAAGAGAATAGGAAAAAATTAAGAAATGTGGCCAAAAGATTCGAGATCAATCCCAGGATTTTTATTGCCCACTCGAGGGTGGTGAGCCGTAGGCCAAACTAGAAAGGCTGCTGATGTCTTTTCCACCCCTCCTCCCTGGGGTAGGGCGATTTATACAATCTCACTCTTGTGGGAAATTAGAACCTAGAAAATCATAGAAAACGTTTTTCAAAAAATATCACATCAAATGTGTTATTTTGCTTACTTTTACTGTTTTCTCTATACGCTGGATGACTGTCTTCACCGCACCCAGTCATTCTGAGAAGCATGTTCTAATGAGCTCTGTTTTCCCAGGTCCATGAGATTTCTGACGCTGATCTAGCAAAGCAGAACCCTCACCCCAAGGACTGTCAGATCTCACGCAGCAAGTGCTCCTTGGTAGCCACGAGCAGGCCGAGCGCCCTTCAGGGGATAGCAGCTCATCCTCCGAGGCAGGTTCTCCTTCAGAGACCTGGGACCCCATTAGGAAAAACACTTCGAATCCAGGCCTTGCTCTGGACTGGATGAGCTGGTCCCTCACTGCCAAGGTCTGAGAGGTGACACAATATTCACGGTTTCACACAAGGACCAAAAACATCTTCAGGCCTGACCGCCAACAGCCACCATGTTCCATGCCTGTCACGAAAGGGCAAGCAAGGAGAAAGGAGAGAGCAGGAGGAGGCAGGTGGAAAGAGTGAGGAGCCAGCCAGTGCAAAAACAGAGACCCCCCGGTAGCGTTAATTCAGTCATCAGCTTCTAGAAGAGGTGGCAGACGCAGATTTTGTTGATGTCAGCCCAAGAATTGTAGAAGACACAGTGGAAAAGTTTAGATTGAGGACTGGTGACATCAGGCGTAAGTGTTTGAGCATTGACAGATGTCTGAGGTCTGGATCCCTTGAAGCAGAGCCGTGTGAGTGATGCATCACCTCTGGTTGAGTGAGGCAGAGGAGTGGGGGCGGGGCAGGAGCTCTGCAGACTCCCCTGAAGTCCTGCTGCAGGGAGAGCTGACCTTAGACGGGGGGGTCTTAAACACAGCAAGTGTTAAGACATTATTTTCAAGAGTATTGGATGGTATTTTTGAAAATGTTTTTATTGATTTTTTAGAGAGAAAGGGAGGAGGAGGGGGAGAGAGAGGGAGAAAAACATTGATGTGAGAGAAACATTGATTGGTTGCCTCCCACATACTCACCCACTGGGGATGGAGCCAAAACCTGGGTATGTGCCCTGATTGGGAATTGAACCAGAGGCATTTTGGTGCATGAGACAATACTCAACCAATTGAGCCACACCGGCCAGGGCTAGACAATCTTTTTTTAAAAAGCCATTGTGATGTAGCTTAAATATAAAATACATTAAGCAACGTTTGGGGAAAATATTTATTTTAAATATCTCAGAAGCTTTGTGTTAATGGACCTCCCTGCCCCTCAGTTTTCATGAACATTAGAAACATTTACTAGTCTCAAAACATGCATAATGACAGTGTTTGATGATTTGCTTTCTATATTCTTTTTAGATCTTATTAATTTAGATGACACCAAGTCAATGAAAACTTAAAAACTTATGTATTGGGCTTATTTCGCAGTTGTCTATGATATAATACACTTACATGTATTAATATATTTGTAATAAATTTATTAATACATCTGCATTAATATTACCTATTTGGGGGTTGGTATTAAGTGAATATTCTTGGGTTATTTATTACATATAGTTGGATAACACAACCCCAATGTTGAGATGGAGGTCATTTGACATAGTTAAAAATAGAAAGTTATCTTGTAATAGATTAGAAAAGAATCTAATTTATAAATATATACAGTCTCTGGATTTTATTCTGTTGTGTTTTGCTTTGGCTACATGCAGAAGGCATTTCATTCCTATTGTTCTAGATTTCATCTGACACATAGGTAGGTGTTCCATTTGGTGCCTTCAGGTCTTCGTTTTACCCAGCATGGAGACGAAGGTCCTTCATTTTGCTGTGCTATCTTTATAGATACTTAGACTATTATTTTTCCAAAGCTTGCACCGAAATGAGGTGGCAGGGTAGAAAACACATTGCAAGAATCTTTTTATCCTTAGGTAAAACACAACTTTTCACTTGTAAAGGAGTATGACACACCAAAACACTAAGACTCTTAGGGTCTCAAAATAAATGTATGCCTTCATCACTTTCTAGCAATGAAAACAATTTCTAAGAAAGTGATTCATATTAGAAAAGTGTGATGTGTTCTGTTTCTGTGCCAATACTAGGAAACCGAGGGAGGTGGTATTGCACAGCTTCGGATGCTGCCTCAGTGGCACACTGACTTCCGTGCAAGACAAACCACAGGCGTTACTCATCTTCGGGGCCTCTAGAGCTTCAGCGGGCCTCAAAGACCAACGCTCAGCATAAACCAGGGGTTCTCAAACTTGACTGTGCATTGAAATCCTCCCGAGGCCTAGTGAAAACATAGCGCTAGGCCCCTCCCCAGGGTTTCTGCTTGATGTATCTGGGGTGGCATTAGAAAATTTGCAGCTCCAGCATGTTTCCAGGTGATACTGATGCCTCTGGTCTGAGGACCACGCTTTGAGAGCCACTGTCATAAACAATACTTGCTGAGCCACCATCGGATGATCTAGGGACTATGAAACGGGTTGCCTGACAGCCAGATGAGCCCATACTGGACTTGTGCTGTCTCCATAGAGCTCCCGGTTGCCACAACAGAGTGAAGAGTAGTTGAGAACAGATCATTTCATATTTTCAGTTCCTGTGCTTCTCCATCGAGTAGGTACCCACACCTGATATCCTAGTCCTTGGCCTTCTTAAAAAAAATTTCCCCCCCTCTCATGTCATTCCCTTTTACTGGAATTCAGAGAAATGGCTAATCTGGAGAGAGGAAACCAAGGACTGAGTTCTGTTAGTCCTGGCAAACATTCTAAGACATTCCTAGGCACAGACTGGTCAAGGACAACTAGGCCACTTCTTCCGACAGGAAACGGTGCTTACCGGTACAAAGCTAACCTTGTTTTTTAAAAACCAATGGGCTGTCCCACAGAATGGAGGGAACAGATGTGGATGTGTGTCCGGCCACTCCTCACCTCCTCACCCCCATCCCCCCAAAAATGTCAATCTTAAATTCTCTCCAATTTCAACAGACAGTTAAAAAGAAGTCTCAAAGCTTCTAGGCTATGTCCTCGTTCTTAGCTCATCTGCCCTCAGCAACATCACATTAAAAGGAAATAACCCAATATTCTTCTATATCCCACTCCCAACAATTAAATATCTGTCTCCTAAATAACACTGCTCTCAAACACCTATTTCAAACATTTCAGGTCACGGACTCAGTCATTTTATTTCTTTAAAAAGGAAAAGTGTGATGAAGCAAGAGGTGAGTCTTGACCTCGTGGGGGAGTTAGGGCCCGAGCCCAGGTCTGGGGTTAGTGCAATTCATTCCAGGGCAGATGGCTGAGGGATACTGACACGTGCGGTGATACCATCAAAGCCTTCCTGCCAGGTGCCTCCGGCGACACTCAGCCTGTAAAACAAAGACCTGAGAAGAAAAAGGCAAGCCCTATCCCACCTGTTTCATGCTCTAGTGAATTCTCAGTGTTTATCAATGTGATGTGTCACAGTTTATTTTCCTACCAAGTGGCTTTAGGAGAGCCCACTCCGAAGGTGGCTAGACCTTCTCCATCTCAATCTGCTGGTGGTAGTGCCGAGCCTGCCGCTGGCCGACGTTCAGCTTGTACACAGAGCTCTTGTGCTGGCACCTGCGGTAGCCCCACACTGCCCCCACGCCTGCCAGGAGCAGCAGCAGGCACAGGACGGTGACAACGGTGGCGATGATGGGACCTCTGCTGAGGCTGGGACACTCGTCTCCTACACATGGCTCCATGGTTGGAAGAAGCTCCTCACTGGCACCTGGGCCGGGGCCTTCCTGTCCCAAGAAGTCCTCCGACAGCAGGTATGGGAAGTGATCCTGGGCCTCAGGAGCAGCGGTTTCCATGGCAGTGTGGGTGGCCGTCATGATAGTTGAGGGTATGTGGTTAGGTGTCTTCTGGACAGCAGTTGTTACTGTCTCCAGGGGAGAGCTGGTGAGTTCATAGGCTAGGGTGGCCATGGGAGACTTCTCTGTGGCAAATCTCCAAGGAACAGTTGACTGGTACCTGCTCAAGTCGCCATCCCCCTTGCTGGGACCCTCAGTTTCAGACACACTCTTGGGTTTGAGAGCAAAAGCTTCTACACCTAGTGTTTGAGATGGGACAGCTGAACCCTGGGTCATGTCCTCATTTGGTGTGAGGGTGGTACTCCTGGGCTTATTAACGTCCACAAGAACGGGCTGGTGGGATGTAAACAGGACACATTCCTCCAGCCCTACTGACCCATCCCCTTTGTCCCCAACTTCTTCCACCCCCTCCTCTTCTGCCTCTGTCTTCCTCCAGGCCCCATCCGTCACAGGGTAGCCGTCTAACCAGGACTCGTCGCTGCTGCTCACCATCGGGTCCCCTGCCTTGCTGTCATTCCTGCCCACATATGGCCCCGAGGGGCCATCGGTGCTGCTATACGTCACCTTGGTTTCAGGTTCACCCGGGGCCAGTGTTATGCCGCTGTGGTTGTCGCCCGTGGGGAGCTGCTTTTTGGTGTCACCATCCATCTCCTTCTCCAACTCCAGCTTGTGAAAGGTCTCGGCTGGAAGCCAGAACAAGTACTTCCCTTTCAGGATCGACCCTGGCAGGCCCGTGGGGACACTGCTCCCAGCACTGGGCAAGCCTGTGCTTGGCACAAAGGCTGTGTCCTGGGCTATGCTTTCTCTCCCCGCAGAAACGGAGACCAGACGGTCCTGTTTCGGAGCCTCCTCAGAGGCCCCTCCCCGATCCCTGTCCTCTGCCTCTGTCCGGGAGTCCTCCATGAGCTCTCGGAATGACACAGATCTGTCATCAGGGAAATTATCTTCATAGTCAATATGTGCCTCAGCCTCATCTGGAACGAGAGGGGGGGAAATCCTAGTTAGGTCCAAGGTCACAGACCCGTGTAGAACACGAGAAAGGGAAATAAAAAGCATAGAGACTGAAACAAAGGAAATAAAACTGTATTCCCAGATGAGAAGTCCATGGACGACAGATGAACTCAAGTCATCTACATATAAAAGCTGCTATAATTAATATGTGAGTTTATCAAGAACACTAGGTCTACAGTCCACATAAAATATCAGTTGTATTTCTACATACCAGCCATAAACCGAAAACAAAAATGTAAAAAGATGCCATTTGCCATAGTGTTAAAAGGAATCAAACACCTGGGAATAAATCTAACAAAAGATGGGCACGACTTCTGCATGGAATGGCACAAAATACTGCTGAGCGAAATTACAAGAGATCTAAGTAAGTGAAGGGATTAGACCATGTCCACATAATAAATGGCTCAAAACTGTTGTCAATTCTGTCCAAGCTGATCTATCTAGATTTAATACAATCCTAATAAAAACCTGAGACATTGACAAGCTGATGCTAAAGTTTATGGAAATGCAAAGGGCCAACAATAGACAAGGCAGTCTTGAAAAAGAAGAAAAAAGCTGGGAGATGGACACTGCGAGGTTTACAATGGGAGTACTTTTTAAGACCGTGGTATTGGCACAAGAATTGATAATAGGAGTACAGTAACGTTAGGAACTTCTGCTCATCAAAAGCCACCAGGAAGAGAGTCAAAATGGATGCAAGCCACAGCGTTGAAGATATCTGCAACACATAGAATCTCCAACGGGCTTGTATCCAGAATTTATAAAGAGCTCCTACAAGTGGATAATAAATAGGTGGAAAAACCTTCGCCAAAGTTGGCAAGATACTTGAACTGGCACAAAAAAGAAATCTAAATAGATACTGAACGTGTAAAGATGCTCAACCTCAATAGCAACAGAGAAATGCTCATTACGGCCGTAACGCGATGCCATTACATAGCACCAGGATGGCTCAGATTAAGCAGACTGAAAATATCTAGTGTCCACGAGGATGTGACGCACCATTGGTGGGAATGTGAATTGGAACAACTGTTAATGGAAAACTGTCTGGGTATCGCTACTGAAACTGAACATATGCATCCTTTATGGCACAGCAATTCCACTACTAAATACACAGGGTGTCCCCAAAATGTACACACACTTTGAATAATTATAAAGCAGTGTTTATTAAAATAAATTTCATTTTCAAAACTGAGCTTCCAGCTGTTAAAGCGTGCATACATTTTGGGGGGACACACGCTGTATGTGTAGTCTTAGCCCCTGGTTCCTGGCATAGAGCTCCTAAAACCTTTGGAATTTCCTCAGGGATTAGGGTGATAGGAACATCTTTGTTACCCATCACTTCACGATACATGAGTTTACGTTAATGAGGTGACTCGGTGCACCCCTAGATAGCTTCAGGATGGTGGGGGTTCTGGTTGCCAGAGGAACCAAGCCTGTGATTAGAGGGTTGGAACTACCAGCCCCGTTCCCCGACCTCGGGGGAGAAGGGAGGAGCTGGAGATTGAGTTCATTCCCGATGGCCGTGATTTCATCCATCATGCCTATGTAATGAAACTTCCAGAAACCTATAAACTACAGGCCTGGGAGAGCTCCACGTTGGTCAATCGTCCGTGTGCCAGGAGGGTGACTCACCCCAACTTCACAGGGACAGGAGCTCCTGTGCTCAGGATCCTTCCAGGCCTCCCCCTAAGCACCTCTTCATCTGTATCCCTTATAATAATCTGGTCACTGTAAGGAAAGTGATTTCCTGAGTTCTGTGAGCCATTCCAGAGAATTATGGAGCCTGAGGAGGGGGTGGTGAGAAACCGCAGTTTATAATCAGTCAGTTGGAAATACGGGAGGACTTGGGTTTGTGGTTGATGTCTGAAGTGGGGGGCAGTTTTATGGGACTGAGCCCTTCACCTGTGGGGTTGGCACTCTAGGTAGTTAATGTTAGAATTCAATTGAGTTGTCGGATACCCAGCTACGGTCCGGAGACATGGAGAATTCGTTGCTGGTGTGAGATCCTGCCCTTCCCCCCGCTTACCCAGACACACCTATTTGGTGTGAGAAGTGTTCTGTGGGCAGAAACAGATCTTAGTTTTTCCCCCACTTCACTTTGCACCTTGGAAAGCGCAGAATGTAAACAGCTCCAGAACCAAGGTCGGGAGGGAATGCTCAGGTGTCGTGTGGCACATTCCCGGGCTCGGAGACTGGGTGAGTGGACATTTGGCTTATTTCAAATGTCAACGAAAGAATGTCCGAACCTATAGAAAAGCTTTATAAGGGTCTATCTGAGCCAAAGTTTAGAGGACATGCCTGGAAGCAAGATCTCAACTGATTGAGAAAAAGTCCCAGAGAATGGCAATTCTGCAGCTTATTTTACTCGTTAGAATCAAAGAAGACAGAGAGGGTTACATGAGATCCATCGTGGTAGACTAAGGAGGCTGGAGAAAGCAAAGCGGGGAAATCTCAAGAACTGGATAAAAAGTAAAACGGAGAAACACATACGTGGTTAATAGTTAACATTTACAGCCCAGGGATGGTATGTGGGGGACAAGGTAACAGCGAGGGGTTCTGTGCTCTCCTGCTCCAGTGCCTGCTGTTGTGCCCTGAGGGGTCTAGAAGAGAAAACTATGCTGACATTTCAAAGGTATGCTATCCTAGATGCGTAAAAACACCCGACAGGGCTCACGGAAGATAAAGATTGACCTTTGCTAAGGAAACTGTAGCCCTGGGACATGACTACCTGCCATGCCTGCCCAGTTAGGGATTTATGATCAGGCCATCCTATGTGGTTACTTTTCCGTCTCTGAGCTTGTTAGGCCTGCCACGTACCC